GTGAGTGAGTGAGTGAGTGAGTGAGTGAGTGAGTGAGTGAGTGAGTGAGTGAGTGAGTGAGTGAGTGAGTGATAATTCATGTGCGTGCTTTTAGTGGGGATGCTACCAACATGAGAAAGGGGTCATCCAGTAAAAACAAACAACAACAAAACAAAACAATCCGACAGATTGCAAACTTGAATTGGGCCAATAAAGACCCTCTAAAATAATAATGAAACCGACCAAACAAACCAAAAACTAAAACAGGAGGGGGAGGCTCGAGGAATAAAGAAAGGATATTCCCCCGAGGCGGGAGGTGGAGGGCCCGTGGAGATGGTATGGGGAAGAGAAGGCAGGCAGCCGAGGCAGGCCTTTCAAGAAAACACGAGCCTCAGCTCTGAGGAAACTGATCAATAGGCCTTGACCAGAGCGCCGCCTCTCCTTGTCTGTCTGTCTCTCTCTCTCTCTCTCTCTCTCTCTCTCTCTCTCTCTCTCTCCACCCTCGTTCATTCTCTCTCGTCCCCCTCCAAACATCACTCTCTCTCCCTCTTTCTCCCAAAACTTTGCTTTCTCTCCCCGAAAGCATAAAATTTAGCTTTGTGTTTCGTAAAGAGGTGAACATTGCTCTCAATCACAGAGCCTTGGAGCATGGGCATGCTGTTGTTATTGCAGTTGATGTGGTTGCTGCGGTTGCTGCAGTTGTTCTTGTTGATACAGCTGATTATTGTTGCAGTTGCTGTTGGCATTACTGCGGTTACAGCAGTCTTTTTCAATCGCTTGACGGTTCTGTTAACATTCGATTGTTAGGACACCTCTGGTTATTGATGTTGTTATTGTTTTACTGAACTTTTGACGATATTCGATTCTTAAAATTGAGGAACAAATTTATTTTTTTATTAGCTTAGTTCTTTGTTTGTTTGTTTTTGTTTTTGAGTTTGTATATTTGTTAGTTTTTGGTTCCCCCCCCCCCCCCCCCCCCCCCCCCAGCCGGACATTATCCATATGGAGTCGCTACAATCTTTCTTTTGACGACTAACTATGTACATGCATACCTGAAAGATATCGCCACTACCAAATAAATGTTCTCAGAACAAGCGGTCAAACCAACGTCTTTATTCCGAACAGAAGAGTATTTGGACATAACATCCACATATCGAGTTTCGCAACGAAGACGCCGTTTCACGCATGTCTTTTACAACAAACACCGTAATAAAGGATATAACTATAAATACATGATTTTAAGCACTCTTTGACACAAGCTGCATGGGGGCTCTCGTGGCCTAGATGTTAAGGTGTTGGCCTCTCATTCAAAGGTCCCGGGTTCGAATCCGGGTAGCGACCGAAAAATTTTCTTCTCTAAAATTGTCTCCTTTCACCTCCTTTCCTGCTCTCTAGCAATGTTCTGTTGTTTGCTTTCATTTCCACTTTCTGTCCCCACCCCCTCACCTCTTTTGCCCCCTCCTCTGGGCTCCTGACTCGCGCGCTCATATGACCTTATGCAGTTGCGAGCGCCGTAAAACACTTCACAAAAACAAACAAAAAACAAGCTGCATCGATCAAGGGGGTGGGCTGCTCCTCCCTGCTCGTCAGGACCAGACCCAGGAAAAGCAGTATACAGAATACCAGCAAAAAGACCACCCTAAGCGGGAATCGAACTCGCGTCTTTAGCACGCAACCACAAAGTACCTAACCATCACAGACTCCGATAAGGACGTAATGAAAAAAAACAACCGTATCTCTTTATTTCTTTTATGTACGTGATTTAACGCCCCCATCGACACAATTAAGATCAACGTACCACTGAGTACTCATAGTGACAGGCAATGTTTAAACAACAAGGGACAAAAACAAAACAAAACAAACAAAAACTGTGAGCTGACATCGAGACAAAGACACGACTTCACGCGCGCATACCTCCACCTCCACCACACTCTCTCCGGCCACCACCACCATCGCCACCATAGCCGTGGGCAGACACGCGCCTGAGTGAGCCCATCCATCCGGCTTCCACTGTGAGTCATTCATTGTCTTGTGGACGACCCCATTTTTCCCCTTTTTTCCCCGTCATTCCTTCGATTCACTAGGAGCGCGAGTAGGGTTTTTCTTCGACAAACACTTGAGTGTCTCTGTACGTCCGTTTGCCCTTTTTCTTTCTTTAATATCTCCTTTTTTCTTCCTCTTCTTGTCATCCTACTCATCGTAGTAATCATTCATCATCATCATTCTTCTTCTTCTCCTTCTTCTTCTTCTCCTTCTTCTTCTTCTTCTTCTTCTTCTTCTTCTTCTTCTTCTTCTTCTTCTTCT